TGTAGCGTCGGACATGAGAACTCCAAAACAGTTGCTCGATTTAAAACCTGGCTGGTTAGTATTTGCCGCTTCTGCGGTTGCTGTCATCGCTGCCTCTGCGCGTCTGACAGCTGCTTTGGCCCGAGTAACTGCCGCGAATTCGCGTTGGCTAGCCTGCCTGATGGTCTGTAGGTTTTTCTTGGAGGCCGTCCCAGACTTTGTAGGGCGAGCTAGACAGTCCCGACTATCTGATCTGTGTGGACCCCGCAGTTGCGGCACTTGGTGTGTGCCTTGCACTCCGCGATGGAATGAATTTTCGAAGTGCAATTCCAGCAGGCTGGGGCGCGCGGGCAGCCCCTAGTGCCGTGGAATTGTAGACATCGTTTGCACTGGTTGATGCTTTGACGAGGCTGGTGGCGGACTGCAATCCCAGAGTCGTCGAAAAGTCGGAAACCTGGCCGAGGAATCGATGCTTTTTTAAAAAAGGGCTACCCATGACTGGTATGAGGCGCCCGGTCGGCTTTTCCCGTGTGGGCGAACTTTTACCGGGACAGCTTTGGTGTTGTGATCAGACCCATTTATAGATCACACAACTTGGAATGGCTAGTATTGGGCAAGTGAACCAACAAGACAAGCGACCCTGCGTCAATGATACGTCATCGGCACACAGCAATGACAACACCAATATCTCAACCATACATGATTATATGATAATATGACGCAGGTATATCTAATGACATAGCTGTTGAATGGCTGAATGGTTGGCAGTTATTGCTATTGATGGTATATTGTGTATATTGTCTTTGTGTATAAATACTCACTGCTAGACCTCTGTATATGATCAACCTTTTCCTCTCTTATATTCAATAGTCATCAATATAGCAGATCTACAATATATATCTGTCTTCTTCACGTTAGACTTAAAGTGCTATCCTACATCCACCCAAGTTGACTGTTACACCCATTGTGACAATTCTTAGACTTCTCATAACCTCGTTATTACAATAGGAGTTCCAGGACTCCACCACTATTGTCTTGAGAAAGCTTTAGAAACCAAACTACGATACTCCAAAAGCTTATAGGCCCTTCGCCCTTCTCAACACTTTAGGCTGACCCCTGGAAAAGCTGGTAGCTAATCTGCTCTCAAAGGCAGCCGAATACTACAAACTTTTCCGCGAAGATTAGATGGGTGCCCAGCCACAAAGGTCCACTATCCCCGCAGTAGAGCTTCTCACGGAACAGATTCATACAACTTAGGGTAAAGATAAGAAGCGAGTGGCATCTATTAGACCCTTAGGGTTAATTGAAAAATGTAAAGTAAAGTCTATTGGTGAAAGTCCGACTATCCTAGTCTAAATAAAAACCACTGTATATACACATGTCTCCTGAGAATGTCTACGTGTTATGATGAAGTGCATGAGCGTCTTCCCACAGTGTATCAGGACTGGTACTTTCTAGAAATATCGTGGTTCTGCTTAAGACTGCCCTTCAAACATTCGAGGAAATACCCTAACCCAAAACAGCTCTCATTGATGCGCTACGACTCATCAAACGACGTAGTTTAACCAAAGCCATACCATACAAACAATTCCATGTTTGACAGCCTCTCTGTTAAGTCAAGATATATCGGGGGCCTTTAACGTGTCCCACGAAAGGTTACTACATAATCTGAGGGATAAAAGAATTCCAGAGTGGATCAGACTATATTTAAAAATTTTCCTCGAAGATAGAACAACCTCCACGGTACTGGGATTATTCCGAGGAAAGAAGATCTCTACCAGTACAGGAATACTTCAAGGCTCTTCTCTGTCACCTATACTGTTCCTATTCTTCGTCAGTACACTCCTTCCAATGTTTAACACTTCCTCTACATTAACAGTTGGATTTTTTGACGATACCAACACTCTAACCTGTTCTAATACAACGGAGGCAAACTATCAAGAGCTGGAGTGGCAACCTGAGATCTGCAAGTAGTGAGCAAAAACGCAAAGAGTCAGATTTGCACCCGAGAAGTATCAACTAATGCATTTCTCACGAGCTAGGAAGAGACATGATCTTAAAGCGACAGTTCAGATCCAAAGTCACACTACAGCGCCACAGCCTTCTCTGTGCGTCCTTGGAATCTACTTTGATCCAAAGCTAAACTGGGGGGCGCACATCAAAAGTCTAAAGCTGAAAGCTGAGACACAGGTCCAGGCCATAAGTAGGCTGACACAATCCACATAGGGAGCCACTTTTCATAAGTCAAAGCTACTTTATAGCGCTATAGTGAGACCAGCCCTTTCGTATGGGTGGCCAATCTGAGCTGAGGCCGGGCCAGGAGGTAGAATACCCGAAAGGATAGTCAAACCCCTTCGAAGCTCTCAAAGAAATTGTCCGAAAGTAGTAACTAGAGCATATAAATCGACCAGCACCAGGGTGCTGGAACATGAAACTGCTACTCTTCCGATATAAATCTACTTCAAGCAACAAAGGGTCCAGTATGTAGGCCGCTCAAATTCTCTACCAGTCCAAAAGACTATCCAATCAGCATGTACTAAAATAAAGCTTCCCGGAAGAGGAAGGGAAGATATTAGAGCACACAATATAAGAGCAGACCTTGCATACTGGAAAGAGATTTGTGGAGAGGAGAAATCCAAGGACTTACAAAATGAAGCGGTAAGGGTTGTAGCGTACCTAGAATGGGCGAAATCTTGGTCCGCCACAAAGCGAACTCGACAGCCTGAAAAATTTGCTTCAGCAGATCCTAAAACTTGGACAGCAGCAAAGCTCTACCATTGCCGCCATTCTGGACGTACTAAAATAAGCTTCCGGGAGTCACCATTTTCTCCCCACAAAAACCTCACGAGGGCTCAAAGCAGCTTAGCAATCCAAATTCGGAGCGAGCATATCGAGTTCAACTCTTATTTACACAGAAGAAAAGTACCAGAAGTTTATCACCAACGTTGTCCGTGTGGCTACCAATCACAAAATCCCAAGCACATAATCATGTCCTGCCCTAAGTGGTCAGTTGGTAGAGGAGAATCTGGAGACAAGCCCGAAATTTCTCCTTTGAAGCTATGATCAACAATCCTAGCGTTTCACGGATCCATAATTAGAATTTTAATACTAATATTAATTCGTGATAAGATGAAGGGGTGGTTAATTAAACCCATCTATTTAATAATAGCTTCCCCTATACAATTAGTCGTGTAAAAAGTCATGTAAGGATATACAAGGGAGTCATGAAGAGAAGGACAAGAATTGATTACAATTAATTCCGTCTGGCAAATGCTTCTACTCTTGTATATAATAGTTCAGCGTGAGAGAGATTTACTCCTCACGCAACGTCTTCTTTATCTACCATTTACAATACATTTGTTTACCCATTTCTTCTTCAGGAAGACCATATATCTATTGCCCAGTTCTTCATCAGCAAGACCCACGTGTAACATCTACTGCAACTAGTTGCCCATTCATCTCTTCCTAGAGAAGACCTGTCATCCCTTTGACCCATTTATTATCTTCATTCACCACCTAGATCTTCACTAGGCTATACAACGCACCCCGTGCAACACTGTCAAACTCTCATCCTTGAGATAGCGATATGAAAAGAGTCATAATGGATTCTTAATCATGGTTGGATAGAACAATTCCGCATGACAGATGCAGCCGAAATTCTGCTCAGGGAACGAGACGGAGCATATACAAGGTTGGGGTCGATAGAAGGGACGTAATTGGTACACATTGATGGCGTTACAGTGTAACTGTACTTACTGAAGGATAAATTGCAGATTCTAAGAATTAAATCAGAATACTTGGGGTTTTTCACCGAGAGGTTTCCTCCTATGTAAATATATAGATAGATTTATAGCCATCTGCAAGGGCCCCTAGGGCTCCGAATCAGGACAATGAATACAAATCAAGCTGCGGAGAGCTAGTTTTGTGAAGGGAGATAGTTTGTGGATCCCAATTCATGGAAACCCCACCGTGCACATTGTGTGCTGTTGATTTGCTCACGAGGTGCGGGGGGAATATTTAAATAAATTGGCGATCCTGTAATACAGGAGTCAGTTTACGTTTTTGTTAGTCACAAGCTCCACTCGCATTATATTGTTGATTAGTCGGAGCCACGAGACGCCTACGTGAAATCATTGTGATCATAAACTGACCAATCAGAAGCCACAATGTGTTTAGAGATGAAGACGATACAGACCGCGAAAGCGATTGGGAATCCTCATCGAAGTGAAGAATTTGTTACCCAATCTCAGCTCTGCAGAATCTACAGTGAGAGCTGGAGGTGTGCAGGGGACACTATTAACAGGTGTTGAGAATAGTCCCCCGGCAACTGAGGAAGTCTTTGGCCCCATATGGTGGAATACTTTATACCCAATTTTTAGTGTCCGCGTCCTTCCACGAGAATAACCGTTTGCAGAATTTCATTGATAGGCGGGATGCTAGTTTCCACTTGTCTTGTAAGAATTTGCCAATGTGCATCTACTCTTCCATAATGCTTGGAATCAGTCAGCGCTCTTTTCCTAAAATAAAAAAGGTTCTCAGCACTCTAAATGAATCCATGATTATATGGAGTAGCGGGTAGATTAGCGTTAAATATTCTAAATTGCTTCCTGTATTGCAAAGGTCTCAAGATAAACATCAAAATGTACTATTAATACGAGAGCAGTGAAGCTGGCAGGGACCATCCCACACAGCCCCAACTCACCTAAGCCGCAGAATTTGCTCCATACTTGAAAAGAATTTTTGCACCAAATTTTAATTGCGTATGCAGCTATCTAGCTCTGACACGATATCAGAGGATGGTTTAGAAAGAATTTTCAGCAGAGTTAAGTAGAAAATAAAAAAACCTAACCTAAAACTCCGAAAGGAAAAGATTATCCTTTTAGAGGTCCGGCACATATGCTCATCGTCTGCCTCCCATCCCAAATTTTATGACATAGCCTCCAAGGGCTAGTTATGAGGACATAAATTTCCTACTTAGTCAGCCATCTCCTGTCTGATAGAACTAATCAGCCACCAGTTCCATGGCGGATTCCTTCACCCTTAGTAGCCCTACTTCGGGATTAGTTCTCCTAGAAATTGAGCTCTCTACCATCTTGATATTCTTAACAGGGACGTTAGTGGCAGGAAAGGGGAAATGCTACTATAAAATATTCGCGCTTGCTGGCTCGTCATATTGTTATCCATTGTTCTCGGGTGATCGAGTTAGGCGGCGTTATGTTAGCTAAAAGGCTTCAGGTGTCTAATCGATGAATTCTCCACAGTTGTGACACTTATCGGGTATCTTAAAATCAAGAGAAGGAGCATCTTGAAGGAACAAATACCGAAGCTTACTGCTCGAGAACTATCGCACTTTTGGGGAAGCTAATGCAGCGTCTAAATTGATGCGTTAATAGGTATAATTTATTTCTACATACAGTCTATTATTGGGGCTAAAAGATGAAACTCATATGCATGTATATTCTTTATTTTTGATCAGAACCTTACCATACGGATATTTCAAAAGTGAATAATTCTAACCAAGAAGTATGACATCTTATCATCAACTGTGTCGGTGTCGCGCTTTCTTGAACGTAACTGAAATATTTTTGTAGTTCAAGTATTCGCAATTTCCTCTCTGTTGATCAGTCTCATAAATAAAGCATGGCTCGCGGCCTTCTCTTCAATCTCCTATCCACTAGAATCTATCGATCAGACTAGGAAAATTATGTATCGTTATTATGAAGTAGGTGCTTTCGGGCACATGCTGAGAATTACTTTTTTAGGACAACGCAACGATATTCTCTCGAAGATGAAAAGTCTAGCTTTATTTATAGGGTTGATTCTGGCTCGTGGAAGTTGTAACGCAAGTGAAAACAAAACTATGACTTATGGGGTATCTTTCGAGATGAGAGAAGGAAGTGTAGTTCCCTCGAATACTTGTAAAGATATTTGGTCGCTGAGCAGCGGAAGGGCCTGTTCCATATTTTCGGGAATCTTTGAGCATGCTGGCATGTTTGAAAGTCTTCAAAGACGAAGCTGATCAACACTGGGTCTTTGGTGTCATAACGTGCACTGGCACGAAGTAAGGGTTCATCAAACAAACCTGTGATATTGCAGTTCCATGACTAATAATTAATAGTTCTGCAGTTTTTTGCGAGGTAAATCCATGCGTGGATTTTATCATTTGATTAGATAGCTTCTGATTTAACTTTTCCGTTTTCCGGGGAAATTCTCATTTGCAGAGTTGATGATAGTAGAGCAAATAATGCGGGTGCCGTGGACCCATCTGAACCATGGAGAAGTTTGACTGTTGAGACTGCATGTTGGGTGATCCCTTCAAGTCTCAAGCCAACGGATTTTTTTATTATACCCTATATATTTTTATAGATCTTATTCGAAAGCATGATTGTGGATTTCTATTATATTCAAAAAAAGACTTTCAAAAATCTTAAAAGAATTCTTTACTGAAAATGGAGAAGAAATCTATTCAATGATAACGTTGAATATCTAGAAAGTTGCGGCCCATAGGATTGAGTCATGAGTATAAGTTACCAGTGGAAGATAGGTTCACATTTAGTCTGCACCTTTTTTTCTTGATTGAGTATCCTGAAAGAATGTTGTAATATTTCTCCGACAGTTTGCATGCTTACCATAGGCTTGTTGAATAATCTATGGCTGGGTCTAGGTAGCCCCGAATCTATTCGCAACCAGCCATATACAGGTCGTAGCCGTCAGACAGGTTACACTCCGAATGTAGTGCCCTTCCACAACATCAACAACACATGTCTGACCCATCGATACCAGTCCCCGACTCTAACTTCTCACTACCTCGTTACATACTGGGATTTATTCTAATTGGATTAGCCTGGGGTTTCACAACACCTTTCATTCGGCGAGCTGCACGCACACACAAGCCTCCTCCGCACCCCATTCTAGATACACCAAAAGTAAAGAATAGTCGAGTTAAGAGTTCGATATACAAATCCTTTTTTGGTGTGGTGGATTTGCTAAAAAATCCGAAATATGCAATACCATTGGTTATTAACTTAACTGGGTCTATCTGGTTCTTCCTATTGATAGGACAGGCAGGTGAGATTGCCTATCACTTCACTTGAAGAAACTCACTGGAGGTTGTGAAATTATTTGAACCCTAACCAGAAAAAGAATTAAGTCTCACCATACCTATCACCAATTCCCTGGCCTTTCTTTTCACAGTACTTGGTGACTGGTACGTAGATGGAAAGATAATCAGCAAAAGTAAGAAAAAAGAATCCTTTTCACTGTATCATGACTACCACTAATTTTGAACCAAGGTACGTGGGCCGGAATGGCACTCTCACTTGCGGGTATTATAATCTGTGTACAAAGTAAGAGTAAATGAAGACCCCTTCTTACGCTCTCCCTCCATGTTTGGCTCTATGGATAACTCTGATATAAAAACGATCTAAACATGAGAAGACACTGCTTGGATAAAAGTGCATGCTATGCGGAAATTGTACTTCGATAATCAATGAGAAATGGTTTCATAGTTTTGAAACGAAGAAATCTAAAAATTTATAGACTGGCCACGTATGAAGAAGCTGACGCTACAACTGCACAAGATTCTTGCCTAGATGTAAAATTAATTACGTATGCGGAGCAAAAGCCCTCATAACACTTATAAAATGATTGATCAATTTAATAATAGCAATATTTTTTATAGCCATCGGTTTGAAATCATATTACTTCGAGTTGTGCATTCTGTACATTGGCTTTATTACAATCTATTTTCTGCATTACTTTTGGTTTCCGTGCAACATCAAGCTGGGTGTGGGTAAATCCAACAGTATTGATGTGTCACAAACAACGACGGCGGCAAATTTTTTATAAAAAAGAAGAGCGCAAAAAGCTCTACATGATTAAATTACTGGAATCTTGTAGAAACCACTAAAAGAGAAAAGACTTTTTTTTAATCGGGGAAGTTGAGGATTTTGCGTTCATGGAGGAGATTAACGGAACCGTGAAGGCTTATGATATTTGCAAGAAGTGCTGGTACAAAATTTACCTCAAAAAATAACTGATCGAGGAGATGATGATAGCATTAGAGAGGTTAAGAAGAGTCGTGGATTCCGCCCAAAAGGCGGTTCCATCAATAATTGAGTGTTCGCCAGAACTTCGGACATGTGCACCTATTGTGGCACCGTCAATGACGAAAACTTTGGTTACTATAAGAATCTATGAAGCAGAAAACATGCAGCCATATAGACTACTTTTAAAGACGAAAGAACATATCAAGGGTGCTTACGCTTTTTACCAAATGCGAAGTAACATCAGAGCTTTTGTACATTCCGCGTCCCGAAGAGATGCTACGCTCAAGATGACGCAGCCTGTGGAGTTTAAAATAACGAGACAAGAGTTTCCTATTGGGATTTTCGGTATCCCATTGAGGAAAGGAAACGATGGTGAAAGAGATTCCAATAACACTGGCGTCGACCGGGGTCAGAATCCCAGAGCTAGCTATCAATAGAAACAGATAGCTACAGGAAGTAAAGAATCACCAGCAGTCAAAGAAAGCCCGCTACAATAGATGATCAATCTTGGTTAGCCTCTTGTATGAGGCAATGCAAATACCGGTGGCTTACAGAGCATTTTGTTTAATGCTATGCTATACACTGCGCAGGTGTGTTCACAACGGACCCAGCCCAAACAGTGTTTGAATCTCAGCTAGTGGAGACAAAAGCAGGCGTCGCATGAAAAGACTACCAGGTGCAATAATCGTGCTGGTTCTCACAATTATTAGAACCATTCGTGGCAACTTCTAGAATACTTTGATCGAGCGATGACCAAAAGGTGAAGTCGTGGCCCCAGAAACAGCGTCAAGCGCTGCGGTAGATGTACAGCCATCGAGGCTGTCTTTTCGAATACTACAACGACCTTCTCCGAACATGTAGGTGACAATTTTAACCTTTCCTAAGCCAAGTCTAATCAACGACGAAATTGTAGGAGTTAGTGGAAACAATTTCGAATCAATTGTCGAAAGGAATATCCTCGGTAGTATGCTAGCTCTCTTTGTCGTGTCGGGATACCTGGTTTTTTTGCTTAAAAGCTTGATTCCCTTCCAACGTGGCCATCAGTTTTCATGAATCTATAAATGTGAAATAAATGTTACAGAAAACAAGAAATTATATATATATAACTTTCTTTGAGATTTCAATAGATTAAAGATAATAATTACCGCTAGCTATTTTAATTTTATTTTGAGATTGCATCGGCAAAGGAGCAAGGACTCTTAGAAAAGTGCATTTGCTCTTGTCTTGTATTTCTTTATACTTTACATATACCTGTGAATACATGGTTAAAATTGGCTGAAATACCTGGGGTATAACATTCTACGTGACGTAATCATAATACACCGTTCAAAATAATTATACGAAGAACTATTCTCAACACCTGTCAGTGGTTCTGCTACGAACCTCTAGCTCTCACTATAGAGTCCGCAGAGCCGAGATTGAGTAACAAAATCCTCCCTCCGATGAAGTTTCCCAATCGCTAAGCACATTCCCCTTTCACCATTGTCAGGAAGCTAACCACGATCAGATCAGATGGTAGGGTCGGAGCCCTACTTATCACCGACCTTTGACCATGGAGGAGAGCCATCCAATGAGTTTCCAGAGCGTACCCAGCACCCGATACGGAGATGGTGGATTGGATCAAGTCGGCCTCGATTGCTACAAAGAAGGGAGATGTAGATGAATATGCGCACCTCATGTGGTCCCGGTGTCTAGGCCTCGCCTGGCTGGGGCTGCAGGTTTTTTGAGATTTTTTCCGGCGCACGCAGTTTCCATTGCTACCATTTTTATTTTTTTTAGGTAGAAGACTCCGTGGAAAAGGTGGCCGAATTCCACAAGTAAATACTTAGCTGAATGTTGATCCATCACGGGCAAAATATCAATGATCTTTCAAGGAAAATGAGAGGCAAGGAGCACTGTACAAGGTGTGGCCTAGGCCAGAGAGGAGCCCAATGTGCTAGATAGTCTATGACTCGAGCTGTACAATATACTCATGCACACATATAATTATGCAGGATTTTTATTTGCATATTTATTATCTTATTGATTCTTTGGCTATTCATGGATATATAGATCCACTCTACTAACAGGCTAGATATTATGTTTGAGCGGTCATGTAGTGGAGAGAGTACTTGCTCTATAACTAGCTAAGCCTTTGGAGAAACTGTTTGTAATAGGAATATGAATCTATTTATAGAACTACTATTTTCCAATGTGCCGATCAATATTATCTACATGTGTAAAGGGTTTAAAGAATTCAGAAGTACTTGAAAGACGTTAACTCAATAGGAATTGATAATTATTACCTGCGAAGCTAATCTGCCTACGACGGCTCCTGTCCTTTATGTCCTCCTCAGCGTCGCGTTTAAGCTCCCCTCCTAGCCTACCTGAGAATACTCCATTCTCCCCGGCTACCCTCTTTCCTGTGACATCCTCCCTTGGGTCCTTCCTCATGCGCAACCTTGCAATTATCCTTATGCAACACTGAGACTCGTTCTTGTGCGCAACCTTGCATTAATCCTTATGCGACACTTAGATCCCTCTTTGTACGTATCCTTGCATTCTTCCCCATGCAACCTTTCGCGTCTCTGTAAGCGCTGCTTCGTTGGCGCTTAAAGATCTAGTCGGGTTGGTCCTCGTGACCAGTCCCAATCCGGGCACAGTCCGTAACAACATGAAGGAGAATACTCCAATTTATACAAATAGCCTATCCATCTACTTGTTACTAGAGGATTCTATCTTGTGACATGGAATATACTACATTCTTCTTTATCTTAATCATAAACAAATGTCAGTGGTATCAAAACTGTGATAGACGATCAACAAAACAATATAGTACAGGAATGGTGGCCGATTACTGTCTATTTTCTACATACATCTCGGATCTGTCCACCGAGGGAGGCTACTAATGGTGTCCCAAATGCTCATGCGCAAACCACACTATCTGTTCCACCATACCATATCCTTAATATTTCGAGTAGGATTATCATGGCGAATCTGGGTCGTGTCGTTCCATGATTCCATATGAGACTTTCTGCAACAATATCCTGCTTCTGATCATTTTCACGAAAAGCGGCACAACGTTCCACGAACATTACTTCATCGTTATTATTATTGCATTCTTCTTAATCAATCTCACTTACCTGATTCCCCGAATTTTTTTCGTTGCGCTTCGGCATGGCGAGATGGGGACCCAGAACGGTGGATTTCGCGGCTGAAAAAATTTTCACGGCACCTCAACCACCACCAACGGACAGCGGAACGGCCGCAATTACGGCTGTAGAGTCTCTCGCAAGCTCTACAGGCGTCAACATGGAGACATTAATGACAGTAGGGTTATTTTTAAACAAGGTCAGAGACAGACTGGTTATCGCAGGCACTGACAAATCTGCGACGCCGATGGTCGAAGTAGGTGAGGCACTCGATGCCTTCAAAGCCCACGCTACGATGTTAAAATCGAAGCTGAAGGCTTCACGAATAGAAGAACGCATGCTGGCCTTAGAGAAGGTAGTCAAGAAGAATCTCGAGGAGCCGTCGCACAAGACGGCTGCTTCGGCAGTACAAGGGATGGGAGGGCGACCCACATACGCCTCTATCGTCGCGCCGCCAGCGACTAAAGCGGCTGTACGAATACGAATCCAAGGAGCAGAAAATATGAAGCCGACAGCGCTCCTAGACAAGGCTAAAATACACATTGAGGGGGCATACGCAGTAAGGAAGCTGCGGAGCAACGATACGGAGGTGTTTGTGCAGTCGGTCTCCCAGAGAGACGCTGCCTTGAGTATGGCGCAGCCAAAGGAGTTCTGCGTCTTGAAGCAGGATTATCCTGTTGAGATTTTGGGGATCCCGTTGGGGACATTTATAAGAGGAGGTAAAAATCCAAATAACGGCGAGTTCATAAACCAAGTCGAGGCAGAAACAAAAGTTCGGATACCCGAATTAAAAATCAACAGGGTGAGATGGCTTTTTGACGGAAAGGAGCACCGATGGATGGGAGCTAACGGCCATACTCGTGGGTCAATCGTCGCGAGTCTGCCGACAGAGACACTTCAACGCGAAGTGATAAGAAACGGCATTGTACACAACTCAATGCTGTACACGGCCCAGCTCTGGTCACCCCGAGCGCAAATAAAGCAGTGCTTCAACTGCTGTCAATGGGGGCATACCCAAGCCTCGTGCAATAGGGTAAGGAGATGTGGTGAGTGCGCGGGCACTCATCAGACCAGGGACTGTCCGAGGAAGTCGGTGCTTTGCTGCAACTGCGGCAAGGACCATAAATCGTGGCAGAAGGGGGCGTGTCAAAACTTCGCGGCATACAAGGCCAGCGTGCAAC